GACAAAGTTAAGTAACAATTCAATCATTTTACTTGTATTTAAGTCATGTTTGTGATGTAAATAAGTGTGCAAAAAACACACTTATCACTCCTAGCATTGGTTGTTGACTTATTACCAAGCCTGTTACATTAGTTGCACATAATAAAATATCCTATTGTTAAGTTATATTTATCTGAAGTCATAGCCATATCTGATATCATTGCAGGCAAAGAAGAGAAAAATGTTGAAATCAAACTCAAAACTTTTGGGCCTCAGGAGGAGAATGGTCCTGTCATCTTGGTTGCTAATGCGTGTTCTAGTAGAGATGTGAAGGAAAATATTGTAGGAGTTTGCTTTGTTGGCCAAGATGTTACTGGACAAAGGATGATATTGGACAAATACAATCAAATCCAAGGTGATTATGTAGGAATTGTTCGGAGTCCTTGTGCACTGATTCCTCCTATTTTTATGATGGATGAGCATGGTCGTTGTGTGGAGTGGAATGATGCAATGCAAAAATTGTCCAGTCTAAAGAGGGAACGAGCCATAGACCAAATGCTTCTTGGTGAGGTCTTTACAGTTCATAATTTCGGCTGCCGGGTCAAAGATCAGGACACATTAACAAAGCTCAGAATATTACTCAATTCTGTAATTGCAGGCCAGGATGCTAATAAGTTGATATTTGGCTTCTTTGATCAGAAAGGTAAATATGTAGAAGCAATACTTTCTGCAAACAAAAGGACCAATACAGAGGGCAGGATCACTGGGATTTTGTGCTTTTTGCATGTTGCTAGTCCTGAACTTCAATATACCATGCAAGTGCAAAGTATATCTGAACAGGCGACAGCAAATACCCAAACAAAGTTGGCTTATATCCTTGGTGAAGTTAGAAACCCTTTAAATGGAATAAAGCTTTTGCAGAATTTAATGAAATATTCAGACTTAAGTAAAGAACAAAGACAGCTGTTGAAGACAAGTGCATTATGTCGAGAGCAGTTAGCCAAGATCATTGATGATGGTGATATTGAGAGTATTGAGGGAAGGTATGATGTACTAGCTTAATAAATTTGGTGAATGTATTAGCATTTTTCCTACAGGCTTGCCAATCAATTAACAAATATGTTACTGCTGAAATCAGGCTTCTAGGTTTTTTGATGCATATGCTTGCATGTCCACGTCAAATATAACCTCTCTTGTTTAGTAACTTCCCGTTCTTATCGATTGTTTATTGCCTAATACTAGGAACTTATCCAATTATCCGTTGCTTGGCCTACAATTAGCTTGTCTCAGGTCAATGAATTTCTGAAACAATAAAAACATCGAAGACATGCTGATGCGGACATCCATTTATTATTTATTTTCTATTTGGACTCTTAGTTATATTTTATTTGGACTATTGTTTATGTTTTCGTT